CAGGAATATGGACATTCTCAAACTAACTGTTTCAAAGCAGTTAAATGCGTGAAATGTACCAGAAATCGCAGAAGCAACACTTGTACATTCAACTCAGACGAAAAGCCTAAATCCTTATTTTGGAGTTCTCGTTACAGGGGATGTAAAGTCTATCAGAAGCGTTTTAAAAAACTCAGTCCATTTAAAAATAATCCTGCCTAACCAAAAAAAGATTTTTCTCCTTAAAATCTCACAAACAAATTCGCAGCTACCATGTAGTTCAAGAATTAAATGCAGTGAGAGTCTAAAAAATTACAGAAATAAAGCCTCAGATGTTCACCTTACTAATATTTTTGAAATTTTTCATGAACCAAATATTTTTCAACTTATCACTAACATCGCAATTTTATCAAATCAAATTAAAAAAGTACAGACAACTTCAGAAAATTTAATAATTGCATTCAAAACAGTTGAAGTCATGCTGAAATTCTCAGATAAAGTTTAATTTCCTTTCACATTCATAGCACCAATTACCAAACTGTATTACACTAGAAGCAACAACCTGTTCATAGTGGGTTCGGGCTCCGGCACGCCTCGCTTTTTTTCATCATCTAACTTGGACCAGTTTTGATTTCTCAAAAATAAATTTCCAAAAATTAATTTTCTTCTTCTTTTAGGTTGCCCTTTAGAGTGTAAGGACTATTTTAATTTTATTAACAGTTAAATTTTAAGTTAAAGTTTCGTTTTCAAATCTTAACTTCAAACTCTCGAACGAAGTTTTGGAATAGAGTAAAATAAAAATGGTTTAACGCGAGTTTACTGTGAGTAGGGATATCTGGGTAAGAATATGTGATCCATTGCTGTCCGCAAGACTTGGAGTTACCTAGATGATAGGCTCACCTTCAAAGAGCACGTAACCAACCAAGTAAATAAAGCAAACGGAGTTTTCATGTCGCTTTATACTGTTATAGGTAGGAAATCGAAATTGAGCTTAAAAGCTAAACGCATGATCTATCTCACTATGATTAGGCCAGTTATGCTCTACGCCGCCCCAGCGTGGGCAATTGCCAATAAGACGGATAGGAGAAAACTAGAAGTCCTTCAAAACAAAATTTTGAGAGCCATCACTAACGCGCCCTGGTTTGTACGAAATAGCATCATTCATGCAGACTTGAAAATAAAGCCCATTCCTGAACAAATCCTCATGGAGGCGCACAACTTCTTCGAAAAAATGGATAATTCTCCAGTGCACACGCTAAGAGAACTCGGTAATTATGACCCTACGGTGGACAGCGTGGTGAAGAGACCTCGGTCAATTCACCATAATGCGCGGTGGTGATGTAAATATGTAAATAGTGTACATATGAAGTTGTGTTTTGTGCTCTGTCTAACCTTATTTAACCAAGGACTGTGTTACTGCCAAAATTGGCTATTTGCCCGGAAGCAGGCTAGAGACTCTGAATTAATTAATATGTGTAAAGGACTGTGTATTGTGTGATCTCACCACGCCCACCGCTGTGGTTCTACTCCTGATTCGCTGCTAGACTTCTAAAAAAAATGAATGCTAGATGATTTTGTTTTCCAAGTACTAATTTCCTAATTTTCGTATATTCAGCTTGACTTTGCCACGGAATGATTGCACCTTGTTCTAATGTCACGTCCCCGGGCGAGGTGCAGTAGCACCTTAATGTACTAAAAACCATGAATGGCCTTCATAGGCGGCACAGATTGAACAGGTCAAAACTCAAAGTAGTTGTATACCTGAGGTGAATCAGACCTAATGCTAAATGCCTAATGTGAGTAGACAGAATCGAGTTTCTGATTGCGCGCGCCGCCTTTGGCTACCCTCTCCGTGTTATTACGCTCTGTGTAATCGGATTGATAGTTCGCAGTCAATTAGCGTTAGGCAACTGGTTAAATCTGATAGCTTGGTATATCTCTAGTTTAGATTAGTTTTAGTTTATTTCTTAGCCTCTTAAGTTCAAGCCCGAGTGCCGGCTTTTATTGTACACTCCAAGACGCAGTTCTGTTAAATCTTATTTGAACATAAAAGGGTTATTTACCCTTCCATCTTGTTGTTTCTTGTCACACGAACTCAAGCGATTATTCGCTTAACAGTTCTTAAGATTCTTCACGTTCAGCAGCAACTTAGTCTTTACAAAGTGAGGAACTCTACAAGAAGATAGGCATAATATATTAGTACAAGCCCTTTATTAGGCTGTAGACATATAAAAAAGGCGACTATGTACGATCTGAGTAAGTGAGATAAAAAAGCGAGACATTTCGGAATGAGAAAGGCAAAAATAGTTGAGAGAAATCATGATTAAGCAGAAAAAGAGCTCAAGAATCATTGGCAATGACATTTCAATCAGAAGATAAAAGGGGAGTGTAAGATGTGAGCTAGGCTCACGGGAAAGTGAAGGAAATTGGATTATAAGGTATTTCTCCTGCCTTCCTAGAGTGCCTTCGTAGTGTAGTGGCTCTGCACGCTGGACGAATATTCCAGAGGTTCGTGGTTTGATTTCCGGCGAAGGCGTTCGTTATTTTTCAGCTTTCCTGCTTACCAAAAATATATATAATGTCTCTACAAGGTGTCAGGTAAAAATTCAGGAAAAAATTATAGAAACAGGTTACCAGGAGAATCGTAATGAAACCTTACTGTGCACATGGATGGTCAAGTGAATTTTTACTTCACTTGAGCGGCATCCAAAGAAGTTAGAAGCTTTTCTCCTTCTTGATCGGATCGGATCAGATACGAAAAACGTATCCTAAACAAGCAGAGAAAGAGTGAGCTACTATAATGATAAATTGAAGGGAACGGTGACGCCTATTATTAACATAATTACCCTACAATTATGAACGTGCCTACATATTGGTCCGGATGATAATGTGTGTGGACAATTCGGTATCTCTGCGCTACCGTTTTTTAACATTGCACAGAACATACATACATAATTACACACAAATTCTTCACCATTTAATAATAGTTGCTTGCTCGGCAGGCCCCTAAAATGACCTCATTTAGTACAATTTCGTAGGCCCAGCTAGTAATTATTCATAATAGTTATGAAGAACTTAACAGATTGATTTTTTTTTACACTCTCTCACTATCCTCAGTCTACCAATCGGATCTTACCTTCCAAAGAGGCAGTATGCCCAGAGACTATTAATTTCGGTTTGGCACTTTGCCTTGATTCATTACAAGCACTATTTCACTTTTAAAATAGATGCCACCAAATATTATCACCCTGTATTATATTTAAAGAAATAAAATAATGAAGAATCTGCATAAATGGATGTATGTTTCTCGCAGTGTGATAAAACAACGGTACCTAGAGCCATCAAATTTTGAAAAACGTAATCCTCCACCGAATATGGGCATCTGGAAGCCCATATTTAGAATTTGTTTTATTATCAATTTCATATTTTGTAAAAATTTAACGAATTTTTGGTTAACAAAGTCGAGGATTTAAAAGCGAGCAATAGCAACGTTATAGAGAAAAATAGCATTTTTATCTCCAGGGAAAGAAAGTCTCGTTTTAAAATTATTTTGCGATATTGCTCTTGAACTGAATGTTATGATTTAAGTGCGAAGAACATGATTTTCTTAATAATATTAAGCATCGTCTTCTTCGCACATATGCTACATAGAGGTCAACAACAAAATACAAAATTTTTAAATGCTGCATAGCAACATTAGTTTAGAATTGACGATGCAGTATTAAGTGTTAACACACATATTTATACTGCTTCAGTCTTTTCTCAATTCATCGTGTCATTATTCAGTTTTCTTTGTAAGATGACTTATAAAAGATTTTTTTTTTGTTTTTTAATTATTAATTTTTCTATGTGTTATCATTATTTATTAAATATCAGGTTCTTGGCACTTGTACCACATAAAATTCAGTTCAACAGCGAAATCAGAAAATATCTAAAAACAGCATACGTTTAGAATTCCCGATAAGGTATTAGAGTTTGCCATACATGTTTTCATATTTGCTATATAATTTCTTTGAAGACTTTTTTAAAAGCTATGTTATTTCTTAAAGGCTCGCACGGCCAACCGCCTAAAATGTTCATTATAAGGAAGAAAAGCATGTAACGGTTTTTAATGAGTCCATCTAGAGCAGTTTCCAGTTTCATAAAAAATATTGAATGTTTTTAGTTGGAAATCTCTTGATTTTAATAAATTTTTATATCAATTAATCCCATTAAAAAGCAAGAAAAAAATGCTATTAAGAATTGTGTTTATTGCTATTAAACCACTTAGTTAGAGATACATTCCGGTGATCTCATAGATCACGTGACTTATGTATACCTTTTGTAAACAAACAATGCAGACCTCAGAGATCACGTGATTTATGTACAGCTAATGCAAACAAGCAGGGTCATTCTTCCTTTTCTTCTGTTGCGGAACGTATCTCATTGTTGAATAATCTTCCAAATTAAGTTTGCAATTATCTTAGGCTTAACAGAATGGCAACACGCTGGCACGTGGAAGATAAAAATATTTTATTCCCGGCGGCGGCAACACAGTGGTTTCACAGAGCCGAGTTTGTTAATCAAAACTAAAAGATAAATAGCTTACGCTTTTCTGAATGGCAAAAACCTAGATCGCGGGAGTAAAAATGTTTCATTTCGAACAGTGTTGCTACTGCTCACTTTTAAATCGTTGAGTTTGTTAATCAAAAATTTGCTAAAGTTTTACAAAATATGAAATAAATAACAAAAGAAAATCAAAATTCGGGCTTTCAAGTGCACATGTTTGGGTAGAGGATTACGTTATTCAAAATTTTATGACTCTAGATACCATCGTTTCTTCACAGTGCAAGGTGCATATACATACATACATGCAGGCAGATTCTTCATTGTTTAGTTACAGAGGTGTAGAAAATCGTGGGAAAAAAGGTTTAAGGATTAAACTTTTAAAAAAATTCTAAATCGAATTTTGAAACAAATCGTTTCATCACGAAGAAAAATACAAATAAGCAAATAAAAAATAAATAAATAAAAATACTTACCATGTCTGCCTGACATCTGATGGATAAAACTGTAAAAACATGAGAGACTTCCATTCCGCCTTGAATATAAATTTGAAGCCGTATTTCAAGAGTACAAGCAAGTGTTTTGGACTAGTTCGAATTAGTACTTTATATGGGTACTCTTCCCGAAGGCCATCAAAAAGGTGGGTAATAGGATACTTTTCTTTCTTCCAGTGGTATAAAATATATTCCATTAGTGCAGCTTTATACATAAATAAAGGACACATTCTATAGAAATCACGCACGCACGATGTATGAAAAACTTCCGCAACGAGACTGGAATCTGCACAATGGTTTTCCAACAGAATCTTCATAAACTTCGGACCTGCCTCCTCCTTCACTGAACGCATGAAGTAGCATTCCAGAGATGTAGTATCATAAACTATAGGAGGTTTCTCAAATGTTACGTTCCCGGGATCCCAATAGTCGAAAGCAGGAAAAAGAGATTTTTGCGTGTAGTCATAATATGCCTTGAGATGTTTCAAAAAATGCTTAGCTGTTTTTAGTTCCCATTTCGTTTCCAGTTTTTCTAATATCGATTTACTGAAATCGAGAAAAAAGGAGTATTTTCCAGCATCTATTAAATGGACTCCTTCCCTCCTTATTTTAAACATTTCAATCAGTTTTCTATCAGGAAAAGTTTGATAATCAGTCAAATTAAGGGAAGGAAAATATTCATTTCCATGGCTTTCTCTCCAATGTATAACCAATTCCTCGCGCTTCATATCTAAATAGGAATATCGTCGAGGGGCTACACATAAATCCAGTGCATAAATTAGCGTTGTATTTCGTTTTTCTTGAAATTCCTGACAGCACAAATCCAAGTATTCCACCGCACTACCCTCAGTTAACCACAATGTCATGTCTGAAATGTCTACTTTTGCTTCACACAGTAATATGCAATTTAAAATTCGTCCTTTTATTTAAATCTTCTAATTGATTTAAGAAACTCGAAGAAGAAACTTTACTTGAACACTTAAATCTCTAACTGGAACTGTATACTATGAATTTCACATATAAGTGCGACTTGTCCCGAATCGCGAATAGCAAGGTATGTTCGACTCAAGGACAAATATATTGCAAGGACACTTGTCTCTACAAATTCTATGCTTCACAGGAAGGAAGGTAAAAAGAAGTAAACAAAAAATCCATAGCAAGGAGACCCCCAAGCGCTCAGATAATAGATCGGGCAGCAATGAGCTGGGAGGCAGAAGAATTTCCGTTTGTAATCTAGGCAGGTGCTTAATTTTTACCTCGGGATAACTTAACAAAGACGTCTTTCACATTCTTTACAATAGATGCTTACTAACTAAATAAGTTCTGAGGCAGTCTGTATTGCAAGCACGAATCTGGACACAATCTATTCTCTAGTTGAACGGTGTTAGCGACCACTTGGTCAGAAGCTCTACCCCTTGTAGAAAGATTGAAAATTTCAAATAATAAAAGACAATAACCTAAAAATATACATTATTTTTTTTAATAATTTACACGTTTATAGTAATAACTCAAGCTAGGAATGTAAAGCATTACTCTAAGGGGAGGTCGAATAGGGAAAAGCTCGAAGCCGTCGGACTGTTGAACAAGTGAGGTGTGTAACTATAAGAAAAAACGTGATAACTATTAATGCTCTGAATCCATGAAGAATTACAGCAGTAACAAATATTATATTTTAGGAACTACATAATCAATTGATGCATAAATGGTTACCAAAATTGATTAAAAATCACGAATTTGTACTAAAATATATAAATGACTTATTACTACATTAAAAAACACATATGAGGTTTACACAGAGAAAAGTAGAAAGAGTGTATTAGAATATATGCAAGGT